ACTTTATTGATCCCAAGCTTGGAAATGCTGTGATTATATGTAACAATTTAACTTAAACATACCAATATTTTTGATGACTGGTCCTGATCTTGGAGCCATTTATCCAATCAAATGTGATTTGGGGCAACTAAGGTGTACAGAGATTCAAATCTGAAGGGCATGATTTAAATCAAAGTGGTAGCCAATTCATTTTCTGTGAATCATCTAATTGTTACTGCTATAATTAAGTTGTTAGCAATAGCCTCATTATTTTCCAACATCAAATCGTTACACTTTTAAAAATTGATGAACAACTGATAAAAACAAAAAATTAAAAAATCCTAGGCATTATAGCACAGTGTATGCTTGTGTAGTAATAATAATAATAATCAACTTAAAGAAAATCAGTCAATGTAACAAACTGGAATTATAACACAATTTAAAATACTGCACAAATTTAAGTTCACTAAAACAACTTTATTAACTAGTTGAGTAGTTATTGAGTTCATTTTTGAGTTAGCTATAATTCATCGGATTGAGTGACTCCACATTTTTTGGAGGATTAAGTTATGTTAATTTACTTATTTTATTAAGATATGCTGTAATTGTAATGCCAAACTGCAAACCTGCTGTGTCATCACAAACTGGGGCGTGGCCAGAAGTCAAACATGTGTGACAGTTGGAACCCTCAGTAAGCAGAGCAGAAGCAGCAAATCAGTGTGAATTCCTAACCTTTGAATGGGCAGTCAAAAACAGAGTTTACGTGTGACCACTTTAAAGGACTTTTTTTTTTTAAAAACATGGGTCGTCTTGTACTTTTGGCAATATACCCATAGGTTAGCATAACATAGTACTCTCCACCATCATTGTAGAAACTTTGGACACAAGCACTCCGATGGAAACAGATTTACAACAGCGAGGCCACGGACGTGTGACTGTCAGAAAATACCAGAATTTTCCTTTGACTGACAACAGTTTCTGTTGTTTCTGTACTCGGTTGTAAAACCATGTTACTGTCACTCCTCCTGACTGTGAATAAAGAACAGTGCTGTCCATAATATCACCATGGTGACAAGGGCAACAGGAACACCAGTTTCTATAGCAACGGCCAATGAGCTGATGGGTGGAGCCAACATGGCAAACAGTGAAAACACTTTAGATCCTCTGAGCACTGTGTTTGTTGATGCAATGTGTGCTATAGTCATTGTGTGCTCTTTGGCTCTGTGTGTGTATGTGTGTGAGGCTGTGTGAGTGAGTGTGTGAGAGAGAGAGTTTGTGTGTGTATGAGTGTGTGTGCACTGTATACTGTACAGCTGTTTTCTGTATTATTGTATTAAACACTGACAACTCCAGTCCCCTCGTTATCTTTATTCAAGTCTTTCTTCAAATATGTATAATATTGTTTTCCTGCATGTGATGTTGTAGAATATAAGAAGTACAGGTCAAGGCTCAGGAATTTAGAAAGTCACAGTGCAGTCTCTCACCTCACTTTATTGGGAGTGGCAGTGAGGTGCAGCCAGATGAAAGGGCAGAGAAACATCAAATCAGTTAACTTTGACTGTAAGGTTCTTGAAAGCAGCGAGACAGCCAATGCTGCGGCTGTGGCTCAGAGGCAGAGCGGGTCGTCCCCCAATCAGAAGATTGTTGGTTCGATCCCTGGTTCCTCCCGCTACGTGTCGAAGTATCCTTGAGCAAGATACTGAACCCCAAATTGCTCCCGATGCACAGCATCGGTGTGTG